TAAAGATGCACAGCTAGATGTCAGAATTCCCAGGCCACAGATACCACCTGGACTCACCCAGAAGGTGGCTGCTTTTGAGCACACACCTTTCCACAAGTCACTGCCACTTTGGTTAAGTGCTGCTGCTGGCAGTCGAGGCCCTGGCACAGGTCCCTGGTTGAGCTGCTCCCAGCAGGGATGGCATCCCAGCCCTTTCCCTGCAGAAGGAAAAGAGCCAGCCACTCACACAAGACAGGGCTTTATCAGGGAGCAAGACTGGGAAAGCCCAACTGCAGCCAGTAATACCATCTTTCTGAGTTTTTCAAAATGCAGCCGCCTCTGGGAGAGACCCACAGATTCCTCCTCGCAGCAACTTTGATGAATAAGAGGAAGAGCTGATAAAGGTCTGTTTTACACAGATTTTCTGCTCCCCAACATGTCCCTAGCCTACACTCTGTGCTTTCCAACAAAATCCCTTCTGTGCTTTCGCCCTGCTGCCACTCCTGCAAGGAACAGCTCCCAACAGCCACCTCCAAAGTGCCTTTGTTGTTTGTCTTCAAGCCAGCCTTCAAAGCTCCTGAACCACCATGCAAACAAACAGCTTGTCAGCACTTCAACAGCATCTTTCATGAGAGACATCCACAGACCAGCCTCCTTATCAGTCCTCACACACCCCTATCTGCCACCCCTTGTCTTGGGCTCACTTTGCAAGTGGTCTGAGGACAAAACCATTTTGTTTCGTTCCAATGCATTCCCTGACCTCCTGCAGCACAACTAAGATTCTTTGGCCTCACAAACCAAGTAACAAATCCTAAGAACATGAACCCATTAAGAGTTAACCTGAATGTGTGTAGATCCCCTGCATGTGTTATTAGTAGGAACAGAGAAACTCTCTTGATTCCTTCTATTTTCACAGACACATTTTACTTCCCCAACTGATGTATAACATGACTTCACAGAACCACAGAATGCTTTAGGTTGGAAGGGACTTTAGGGATCATCTCGTTCCAAGCCCCTGCCATGGGCAGGGACAGCTTTCACTATCCCAGGCTGTTCAGAGCTCCATCAGCCTGGCCTTGCACACCTGCAGGGAAGGGGCAGCCAGCCTCTCTGAGCAGCCTGTCCCTCACAGGGAAGACTTTCTTCCCAAAATTCCATCTCACCCAGCCCTCTGGCAGCTGCAAGCCATTTCCCCTTTCCCTGTCACCTGCCTTCTGAAAAGCCCCTCTCCAGCTCTTTCAGCACTGGAAGAGACTCTAAGGTCTCCTGGAGCCTTCTCTTCTCCAGGCTCAACAATTCCAACTCTCTCAGGAGCTGGGAAACATTACCATGACCTTTCTAAAAGAAAAGAAAGAAAATAAATCTGGAATCACAAAAATAAACCATCTGGGCCAAATACTATACACAAGTGAACTACCCCTGATACAGCTGGTTATTTATACTGATTTGTCTGCAGGAGCAGGACATGGCTTCAAGAAAATCTAAGCTTTATTTTGTCACCTCCCATAAAAAATTTTGCTTGCAGGGACTTGGTTCACGATTCTCCTAACCACTCATGAGACCCAGTCCCACGTATCAACAGAGTCATCTTCAGACTCTGTTGCCTCCTCAGTGGAACAATTCACCCACCTGCGAAGCAGGGACAGTGCCTTGGTCATGGCTGTTAGGAAGGTATGTCCATCTCCATTTGAGATATATTATTTGATGACAAAACAACCGGAGGGAAAAAAATGCCACTGACCTTCTTCCTGGTTTTTTTCTCTTTTTAAGTAGTGGCAAGAAGATCTCAAAGTTTGTAAGAGTCATTAGACACTATCATGGTATACAGAACTAATAATGATGAGCAGTTTAAAACATATTCTATCCCTTCAGCTCAGAAAAAAAAATAATTATGACCAAAAAAATTACAGCAAAGTGAAAAAATGTCATAATTGAAATAAACCATGAAGATCCCACACGGAGAGAAGCATACATTTGGAGACATCATTTATCCCCTAAAGCTATGGCTACTGTAGTATAAAGTTAAACTGCTTGCAGTTCTTCCAAAAGACAACCTGTTTCTTGGGGGTATCATAACAATTTGGGATCCTGCAGTTGCTATGGCAACTACTGCTGCATCCAACAGCAAAGCATTGTGTGTAGTTAGATAAATCTACTTAAGTTATATCTGCCCCGAGTTTCCAAAGCTACAGCAAGTTATTATGTACCCTTAAAATAAAAGAATGTAAATTGAAGAAACCTGTTTCAACATTGAACAACGGCACATAGAAAGCACTTTCTCCATAAACACTGCCTTTCAGGGCATGGTCATCATGTACCTTTGTGAGGTTCCTTATGTCAGATTCTTATGGCAAATACATGGATTTATTCAAATAAACCAAAGTGATATTAGGATGACATCTCAATACAATAACACAATCGCATGATCTCTGTGCATCTTTTGGCATTACTCTGGTAACACAACAGGCTTTCCCTCTGGCATTTGGTATGCATTTGCTGAAAAGAAAAAAAAAAAAAGAAGGCTTTAATATAAAATAAAATGCCCTGAGATGCACCATTTTATCATTCTAGGTCTTTCATCTCCTCCCTCTGAGAGCCACAACATTGCAGGGAAAGCAGACTTCTGTTATCATAGCCCAACCACACAGCAAACACACAGTGCCCTCCATGTAAATAAACTCACCAGTGCCAAGGCCTCCATTTCCTTTTCCATCCCTTTGCTTTTCATAAAGGACTTCCTGCAGGAACACAGATTATTTGCAGTTCGTTTGCATACTATGGGGAGAAGCTCTAACACACTTCTTAAGTGCTTCATTTGCTCCAGTTGCTCGCTTTATCTCAGCAGGGAAAACCAGCATATGAGCCAAGAGCCTTTCCCAGATGAGAGGTATCTGCCAGCAACCAGCTGACATTTTTTTCAGTTTAGAAGATTACCTGTTTTTTTGTGGTAATACCTAAGCACAGATCTACTCTGAAAAGATAGCAACAGGAAATGAAACCATTTCTCAACGGCAAAACAATAGACCCAGAGATCACTCAGGAGTGAAGCTTGGAGACTGAAACAAGAATCACAATCTCTGCAACGCTACTGAGGTTTGAACACTTCGTTCATTAAAGCAGGGAAAGCCAACTCATCATTTCTGATTTGGCCACAAAAATGCTTTTATGTTTTGTAGTTAAGAGAAGCTACACCATTCACCACAGGGGTTTTAAGAGCCTAAAATCATCCGCACTAACGAAACCTGGACACGCTGGAGTGCCAGGCAGTGACACTGCAGACATGAGGAAGGAGGACTCATGGTCCCCAGTGGTGACAGCACCCTGCTGCTCCTGGTCACAGGCCCAGGGGAGAGAGCAGAGCTTCAGCCACCACCTCCCAAAGGGATGCACAGCCACGTGGCACCAATCCCAGCGCTCACAAACACACCTGTGTGCAAAAGCAAGCGCTCCGTATTCTCAGACGTAAATTAAATGGCTTCAAAATTAGTGGAAGAGCAAGAGAGCCCTTCTGGGTTCCCTTCAAGGCACAGTATTATTTGAGTGTATTTGACTGTTGGAGTATATGCTCTTTGGAGAGGGTGTCTTCTTTGTGCACTGGGATTTTAGCCGCAGGAGCCGCAGGAGGACACAGGAATTGCACTGGAGGCACCTTTTCCCAGTGAATGCAGCAGCCCCGGAGAGCAGAGCAGCTGCAGCAGCGCTGAGCCCTGCCCTCCCGAAGGCACAGCTCCCTGGCACACCCCGAGGCAGGCTGCAGCGCTCCCTCTGACACACACAATGGAGAGGAGCTTCACCTTTTACTGCTCTTCCACCGACAGCACACAACGAGATCAAAGAGTTGGGTTTATTTTTACATTTTTATGACTTTTCCCACCCCTTTGCTACCACGCTGGCGGCATTTCCCACCCCCAGCACCGTGCCCTGGCTGACCCCACAGGGATGCCTGTGCCCAGGAGGGCAGAGATACAGTTGCTATGGCAACACTACCTCCAAATTTTCTGGCCTCCATGCATGTAACATATTAACCTTATCATTTAATTGCCAGATGAATTTCAAGGTGGCACACAGAAAATCACTTTTAAGTAGATTTGCAGAGTATTCATTCTGACAGGCAGCATTTCTGCACATCAGGGCTCTTCTCCTCATTACCCCACCACTTGACCCACAGTGCAGAAAGGTCCTTTCTCCCTCCACCAGCCAAAATCCTCACAGGAGTCTCTGCTAAAGCCTCCTGCTTTCCTCTGCCTCACAATGCCATCCAAAGCCATCACCCCTTCTCTGTGGTCAGTTGGAGGCACCGTGCAGGGACAGGGTGGGCTCACACTGCCACCCCAGTCCAGCCTGGAGGAGCCTCTCACAGGATCACATCCTGCAGGAAATAAATCCCACGGCACACAGGGCTGCCCTGCTTAGCCCAAGGGTGCTTCCTCAAAAATCTGTTATTGCAGAGAGTTCTCACAACAGGCAGGCAAAGTAATAAACCAAATCCTTCTTCCTACATAAGGATGCCATGGAGGAGAGCGGGGACCTGTCCCCTTCAGCTCCTCACACAGCAATATAAAGCCAGCCTCAAGAGCACCTCACCCCTCCCACCAAAGCCACTGGTCAGAGCTGCTGCCCAAAGCCACTGTGAGAGCAAACAGACCACGCACCTCCTGTTGATCCCAAACCTCCTGGAGCACGTGACCCCACCAAAAACTTCTTGTTTTCAACATGCCTCCTCTGTATAGAACTTCAGAGATTAAACACCTACCCAGACCCCAGGGAGTACTGCACAGAATTCCTTGGGCTTGTGGACTATTAAACCTGAAAATTGATTTTGCTGGCTCTGTAATTTTCTTGACCATTTGCAGGAGTGAAAATCAACCACTTACCTTTTTTTTCACTTCAGCCACTTATTATGAGCACATGGGGGAAGGAGAGAAGTGGGAGGAATCTATTTTATTTCTTGGCCACTTAAGCTTGTTTATTCTAGAAAATAGCATCCAAATGCATTTTCCAAGAAAACAGCATGATACTACCTGTTAGCAGCAGCAGGCATGGAGAGCTCTCCGCTCAAGAACTTTCCATGGACTCGCAGAAAGACCAGCTTCTGCCAGGAAAGGGACCTGAACCAATATGAAAACAAGAATACGTGAGTTTATTCACAGCTACTTGTGACCAGCAACTCCTCACTGAACCATTTAAGTCTGCAAAGTTAATGCAGTATTACATAAAAAGCATTTCCATTCATTGCTTCTCAACATTTCCAATTTTGCAATTCAATGTATTACTGAAGGCTATTGTTGTAAACATAAAATCCACATTTTCAACAAAAAAAAAAAAACAGTCAGGAAACAGAATTCACAGACAAGGCTGGGAATTCTCTATAAAAAAATAAACATCTCAAGTGTGTTGAAGGTAGACAGGCCGCACCAGCTCAGAATGTTCCAGGTGCAAAGGTGACTCTCAACAGCTCTCTCTGGGCACTGCCAGTTTTATTCTGAAGGAAACAGAGGACCAAATGGCAGAAGATACCATGTGTAAGCTGGTTAAATTTGGCTGCTCTGTTCCCACTGTGTGCCTGCCATCACAGGACATATTTCCTACTTCTGGATGTTCTGGACAATAAATATTTACAGGAAGGTCATTAGGGCATGGCAAATCCTGACAGAAGGGCTGTACATCCCCCCACAGGGGATGGAGCTTGCAGTACATGGGATGTGCGAGACACCCGAAGCAGGCAAGGGTGAGCTCCCAGTGCTCAGCTAAGTCCCTGCTCTGGCTGTCTCAAGCTCATTGGTGCACCCCGTGCCGTGCCCTGGCTCGGCAGCCCCTGTGCTGACC